TGTCTTTCATCGTCAATCCTCCAATCTTCATTACCTTTAGCATTCTCAACATCATTTCTTGTTGCCTAACACTTGTTTGTTTGTTCCAATCATGCTCTCCAACCAACTCAATTTCCAATAGTTCTCTCCGACCAGCTCCATTTTCAGTAAGGCTTTCAAATCAACTCTGTTTCCAGTAATTTACTTGTTTCAATCATGCTTTAGCAATGTGTTGGTTCCAAATTGATGCAATAAATAGTTGTTTTCTCCCAATCCTCTATCATCATTCTTCTCCTTAGCACACTCAATCAGCTTAAGAGGTAAGATTTGCATGCCTTCCCAATTGGTTGTTTAATTTTTTTTCATTCTATGTTTACGACTGTTTATTGATATAATCTTAATTCCATAATTTGGAATTTGATCCAAGAAATTAGATGCCTTTGATAGATCAAGGTTGTATTTTTTGGAGTCAATTCACAATATCATCAATATTGCTAAAGACTAGATCATGTAAATTTGACAATTACGGTTTTACTTCTTTTTCTTCTTGCAATTTAACTATTAATGACAATTGGAGAGGTGTTTTAAAAAAATTTCACTTATTTGCATTTTTCTTCTACTCTAATAAGCCTTTAGGTCCTTCTTACTTTTTGCATTCACATGACAGAAGATTTGGATTGTATATGGTTTCAAATTATGCTATCTCTAGTTGGCTAATAGTTTGAAATTTTGATCTTTAATGTTCTTCCTTCCTTTCAACTCTTGGCAGTAGCTCTTGGTAGTAGCTTTTGACAATGCTCTAATTCTAATGATCTTGCATATAAAACAATCACAGAGGTCTTCACTTTTGAGGTATTAAATTTCCTAATTATATTACTAAGTAAATAATTTCTACATTCCTTCATATTTTGCAAAATCTGATTGATTGTTTTCATTTAGTGGTGACTATAAAAACAAGTTTAGTAATTGGTACACGTCATATTCTAATTTTTTTAATTATTAAATTATTTTTTTAATTGAATAATGATTCAAAATTGAATTCTATTTTGTTTTGGGTTGATTTTCATCTATTTTGTTGTAGAATTGCAAAAAATGTCATCCTCCAAACAAAATTCAATTGCTGCATCTTCCCAACCATAAAGGGCTAAAACAAATCCAGCATAAGAGTATTGTGTTGAAGTTATAGAAGGCATAAAAAAATCAATTAAGTGTTTGCACTGCCAAAATACATTTAGAGAATGAGACATTAATAAAATGAAACAATATCTTGCTGGAAAAGGAGGAGATGTCAAAAAGTGTGATAAAGTGTCATTTCATATTCAATATTGAATGCAACAGAGTTTGAAGGAAACTGAAGAAAGTAAGAAGCAAGCAAGAAGCAAGTATAAAATCTATGGGAAGATAATTCATTTGAACATTTTGATGGAGATGCATCGGACTTGCAAGAGATCCTGAATCCTTCTTCAGCTCCATAATCTCAACTTAAATGAAAAAAGTTAGAAATTTCACCAAATAAGGACAAAAAAAGGAAGACAACTGGGATACAAAATTATTTTTCCCCATAAACCACTTTGAGAGTTAGCCATCAATTAGAAGTGCCTTGGCAGGTAAAGATACTGTCCATGATGCTGTCCATGATACTAATTTGGCCAATGCTAGGTTCTGTTTTGATAGTTGCCTGCCTAAAAATGCTATCAACTCTCCTTACTTTTAGCCTATGTTTGATGTTATTGCTGCAATTGGTCCTGGTTATAAGGCACCAAGTTATCATGTCATGAGACGCAATCTATTGCATGATTAAAACAATATATAAAAGAGGTTCAATTGTTAGTTCAATTGTTGGTTAATTCTTATAGGACTATTTGAGCAAAAATTGGTTGTACTATTATGGGTGATGATTGGCAAGATCAAAAAATAGGCAATTAATTTTCTTGTCTATTATCCTAGAGGAATTACCTTTGTGAAATGTATTGATGCCTCTGATGTAGTTAAAAATGCTTTCATACTTTGTGATTTGTTTAGGGAATTGGTTCAGTTTGTGGGTTCTGGTAATGTTGTGCACTTAATCACTGATAATGTAGCCAATTGTAAAAGGCTGAGAGATTGTTAAATGACATTTATCCTACAATCTTTTGGTCTCATTATGCTGCACATTGTTTAACTTGATTTTGAGTGATATTAGGAAGTTGGAGGTTGTTAGTAATCATACAACTTGTGCATCTTTGGTATCCAAACTTATATACATTCATCTTTTCTTGTTGGCTTGGCTACAAAAAAAGGAAGGATGGACAGAAATTATACATCTTAAACTAACATGTTTTGCAAGAACATTCATTGCATTGAAAAAACATTCATGAGCATAGGCATGACTTATAAGCATTGGTGACTAGTTTGAAATTTAAAGAATCTAGATACTATAAAGATCATAAGGCAAATGATGTTGTGGCTATTGTTCTAAATAAAAAATGTTGGAATAACTGTGAGCTTGTTGTAAAAATTGTGAGACCACTTATTCGCTTACTTAGAATTGTGAATGATGATGAGAAACCTTCACTTGGATATGTTTATGATAGCATAGATGGAGCTAGAAAGGCCATTAAAACTATACTGATGAATAAGAAGTCTTTGTACAAGCCTCATACAAGAATTATCAAGGAAAGATGGGATAAGCGACTTCGTCAAAATCTTCATGCTGATGGCTATTACTTAAATCCTGCTTTTTACATGATAAAGAGAATTTTTTAACCAAAAAAAAAAAAGTCATGAAAGGTATTGTGGATGTTGTGGATGCAAAAGTGTCATCTTGGAGGTCTAAATTTTTGAATGAGTGTGAATTGTATAACAGAAAAATGGAAAGCTTTGGTTGTAAAAATGCTCTTGAATCTTCAAAAACTATGTAACTCCATAAGATTTTAACTTTTTAAGTTTTTTTTTTTAATTATAGCACTTTTATGTAATTCTTCATGATGTTTAACTTTTTAAAACTTGTATATATTTTTCTTTTTGTCTTCCTCATAGATGAGTGGTGGAAATATTTTAGATAGTCTCCCAAATCTTAAAAAATTAGCAATACAACTTTTCAATTAAACATCATCTTCTTCGAGTTGTAAAAGAAATTGGAGTGTATTTGAAAGAATACACACCAAGAAAAGGAATAGATTGGAGCACCAAAGATTAAATGATCTTATCTATGTGTCTTATAATTTTCGCTTGAAACATAGGTACTTTTTCTAATCTATATAATAATTGTACTATATTTATAAAGTTTCATTTCTTATTATTTATATATTTTTATATTTTGTATGAAAATTTTATTTTTGTTTTGAATACTAGGAATGATAACAAAAGGAAAACTTGCTTGGATCCTATTGATTATAAAAGCACAGACAATGTTGAGGAATGGGTCATGGAAGAAGATGATTCTCCAATTCTTGATTATGATTAATTGGAAACTATGATCTATAATGATTAAAAATGTCAATATGTCATACAACTCAAAAAAAAGGTTAGTGACTAATCAAAGCTTCTCTTCATAGTGTTTTGATTTTAAATTTATTTTGTTATTTTGTCATTCTATGAATTATCTTGTCAATTATGTGAGTTAGGTTTGAACTATGATTTATTTTGTTGATTTTATTTATTAAATATTTTTTGCTTCCCAACTTTTAAGGTGGCACACATGATATTGATGAAGAAATGCAAGGGTGATGAAGAAATGCAAGGTGGTGAAGAAGGATCATTTTATATTGGTAGTGCAAGTGGAGAAATTGACTTTGAGTCAATTAATAAAGAAACTGGCCAATCAAAAAAAAAAAAAATTGGTGAAGAAAATGATGATAGTTATGATAGTGAAAATGATTTTCGTGAATGTAATGCTTGGTTTAATGAAGATCCTCCTAATCTAAGGAATAAATAATGAACAATTTTAATTTATGCATTATTTGCTTATTGGTTTGAGTTTTTCGGACTTGTAGATTTGTTAATTTGGAAACTTGTATTGTATGATACTTTTTTTTTTTTATCTATTTACTTAGTTTTAAAGCTTATTTTTCATATATATTTGGCTTTGGAACTTATTTTTTATATTATTATGGAATTTATATGTTTATTAAGTATAATATGAACTAAAAATTGCTACATAAGGCTAGAAATTGCAAGGAAAATAAATGTAAAGACAACAGCAAGTGATGCGAGAAAGTCTCGAACTCAAAATTGAATTTTATGACCTTTCTTGTTTAAACAGACTAGTTGATTGATTCAACCAATCGAACCACCCAAATCAAGAACTGCTAAGCAAACTAGTTCTCTCATTGGTTTGGGTATCAAAACCATGGTTTAAACTTGATTTTAAGCTTAAAAATAATTTTGAGCTTGACCTTTAGTATATTTGAAAGTTATTGAACGCAAGTTCAAATCTTTTATTTAAAAAAAAAAAAAGAAATAATAGAAATCATTATTAATTTAAATTTTTCAAAAAAACTCTTGAACTACTACTTTTTTCGATT